AGTTAGAGAATTCAAAAACTTAGTGGGATAAAGTAAACCTTGATCACCAATATGGTTGGAGTCTTTTGAAATGTAATCATTGCTTAAGTATTTTTTATTTCACCTAAAACCAAATAAAAAACATAAGAATTAATCAAATCTACACTTTCATTGTATAGAGCAATAATTGCTCTTTGTTTGAGGTAGCATGGATTGCAAAATTTGTCATGAAAATCATAATATACTATAGATACTATACTGGCTATTGGATTTTCAACAAAATAGATTAACTAATCTAGAGAAATTTTATACAAGCTGCCTCTTCCTCATTTTCAAACATTACAGATCCAATCTTACCATCACCTGTGTCAAGTAACTATTGAGCAAATTCTACAATTTTGTTTTGCACTGCTTGATCTAGATTTTATCTATATAATCTCATATTTGTTCTCAAATGAAATATCATATAATTCAACCAAAGCCTTGATTGATTTATTGAAGCATTCAAAATATTAGTCTTTGATCCTATTTGGACAACAGGTAAAACTTGTCTAAAATCTCCACCCAAAATAATTGTTTTTCCTCCAAATGGTTTTATAGAATAAATAATAGGATTAGAAGTCTCACAATCTCTTGAATAAAAAGTTAAATAACTACCTAAAGCTGATAGTCATATAATGTTGTAGGACTGTAACTATTTATATCTTCATTTACTGCAAAAAAAAAAAAAAAAAATAGCAGTTTGTTCAGATTGAAAGTATTATAGTATATATGATGAGTAAGATCAGTGGTTGAAGTATCAATTTTAATCTATCTAGAACTAAAGTATCAATATTCAGATACCTCTGCGATCTAGAACCTACAAATGGGATTTGGAGTTTGGGTGGTAGCCTTAATTAGTAGTAGTTATCCAAACAAAATTAAAATCTCTTACATTTTTAACAGCCATGAATCATGACTGAAGCTGTCGGCAACAGCACTGATAATTGACTAAGGCAACGTCTCCATTTAGAAAAGAAAAAGAAAATCATATTGTTTAATTCTGAAATAATTGATGATTATTGACCTTATTTTCTTATGCATGTCATTATTGACATAGAAACATGTGTGTACATACATACATCTGGAAAGCCAAAAAGGTATATGAATTAGTATTTGTGGGTTTTAAAGATTGAGAGAAATTGGTTGATTTGAATTCAATCCTTATTCTTTTTTGGTGATCACTTTTTAATCTTTTAAAAATGTGAAAAAAAGTGAAATAATTGGAAGATATTTCAGCTCATGCTCGACAGATACATAAACCAGAATAAATGTATAAATGCAAAACATTTTTAGCCATGTTTAGGTGATAAACTAGATATATATTTGGGTATAAAATTATGAAGACAATCCAAAAAACTTCACCAAGCAAACATAAACAGAATGAGAAACAAAAGATCTAAAGTAATACAAGCATGCAAAAGGAAAAAAAAGGCCGAAAAAAAAATAGTAAACCAACATAAAAAAAATCAAAATAAGAACAAAAGTATCAAATTTTCAAAACTGATCGCAAAAACCAAAAAAGAAAATTAAAAAAGCAACAACCTTCAGAGATGGCATTTTAATCTATCTTTGACCCTTGCAGGAGAGTTAATTGGTATTGTTTCATGAAGATTTGAATATGAGGCTGCTGAAAAACGTTATAGTAGATGCACCAATTTTTTCCCTTCCAAGGGCAATCTAATAGGAGATAGAGAAAAATAGAGAAGTGAACGATCACTCTGCCTTTTGTCATTCTTGATCCTTGTTCCCATGGAGGAATCCTTTTAGTTTTTATTGAACAGGTGTAAGGCATGTCCTCCCATTTTTGCTTCAAATATGTTTCTTTCCCAAATTTAACCATGAATTTTTATTTAAGACATTGCCGAGTTGTATAGTTAAAGATAATTGGGGAATAGTTATTATATATAGATATAGATATTTAAAATTAAAATATTAAAAGATTTTTAATATTAATGTTTTAATTTTTTAAGTAAAATTAAATAAAAATATTATTAATTAATATAATAATAATATTTTGATTTAGGTCAAATTAAGTTTAAGTTAAAAAAATCATATACAAAATCCAAATTAAATAAAATTATATTTAAACTCATCGATTTATAAATAGTTTTTTTTTTAAACTATCCTTCCCTTTTTAAAAAGGTAAGGCAATTTCCAAAAAAATTGTTTTATATTTTATTATTAATAAGTTATCTTTCGTCGAGCAATCAATGTTTTGTCAAATAAATATTTGAAAATATAAAAATTATTTTTCAAAAATAATTTTCTACAAAACAAATAAAATCTTAGTTTGACAAGAAAAGCCTTTTTCTTTTTTTACTTTCTCATACTAGGGCCTTAGTAACAAAACGTTTTATCCGAGTCGAATGATGTTGATAGTGACTTATCCCTATTCACCGAAAACTGATACTCAACATTGTTGATCTTTGCATAGGCTGCACATAAGTAAAATTTAAGGGATCTTACTTATTTATATGTGTGGTTATATGGTATCAACAATTGTAAGGATCAGTCCCCTTTGCTCCAAAGCCTTTCAGTCTCGTTACATTAAGTTATATTGCAATGTCAAGGTTGGAAAAATCTTATGTGTCATTATTAGTTCCATATCAAAATTGATGATTTCATCGTGCAGATTTCTATTTTGCGTGCTGCGAATGTTGAGTCCGAAGAGATTGAATCCCCTCTTCATATGGAAAAGTCTTATTCCTGCATTACTCACCATCTATCGAGAATGTCAATGTAGGAACTTTACTGTCCCTGGTGAAAAATGAGAAAGTAAGGCAACCTGTAACATGTCCCAAGTGTGCATATTTTCTCAATGTAACAGCGGATATGTCCCAAACATTTCTGATTCATTTGTTCTATTACTCAACCATCTATTGATCAAAGATTCAAAATTCTAATACATTTTATTTGGGTTTTTTTGATTGATTAAAATGCTAACACGAATATCTCGATAATGTACCCTGTTTGAGATTTTAGACAAGGGTTGGGCGGGACAGAAAGTAGCTTTTGTTTATTTATTTATTTATTTGATATAAATTATAAAAGCTCCCCATATATAAATTATAAAAGCTCCCCATGTAATTAAGGGCCTAATATATATTTATTGTGGTTTAAAAAGTGTTAGTTTTTTATTGAGATTTGAATGATTTGAATTTTAATCATTAAAATTAAAAAATGATGAAAAGTATTACTTTTTTTTTAATCTTAAAAGTAAGTATATTTAGTCTCTAATCCCATAATGTTTTCTTTTTTTTTTATGTAACTTTTTTTCTACAAGTTTAGTTAGTTTCTAACCTCAATTGTTTTTTTTTTCCTAAAGTATTAAAAAAGTTTTTTAACTATTTTTTATCCCTTAACTAAACTCACATACTTTTATTTTTTTAGTTAGGTAACTTTTTTTAATTTTTTTAATTTCTCTTCAACAATTTTTTTCTCTTTAAATTTAAGTTTGAAGTCAGAATCCAATCATAGGAAATAGTGTCACATTATTAAGGAAATAATTTTCGCTATTATTTTTTATTATCTTCAAATTTCCCAAACAATTACTTTTATGAAAATTTTGAGGAATTCACGGTTTATGATTAGATTTATTCGCATTACAGGATTTTATTAAAAATTAAAGATTTATATCCCAAAAAAAAACAAGCGTAACCTAAAATTAAAGGACGTTTATGTTTTTTTCCTAAAAATATTTAAAACATTTCAAAAAAAAAAAAGAGTATGGGGGAAGGAGATATTTTGCAGTTTTTTTTTTTTAATGGAAATGGGGTATTTAATAAAGAGTTGGGGAGGCTGGTGATATTTCCTGAAACATCAAAAACTGATTCCAAATTCCGAATTAAAATTTCACTGCTGTCGTCAGTCACTCAATTTCCTAAAGCGAAAAGCAGAAGACGCGGTCAAACTAACTCGCAATGTTTCCGTCCAAACACCGAGTGGATTCACTCACCCTTGGTTCTTCTCAATTATTCAACATTCTGTTTGGTCAATCAGAAAATGTCCAAGGAAGGAAAATTGAAAATTTGCCCATGCTTTTTAAGAGTATGGTCACTTTGAGCCTATAAACCCAATGCAGGCAATACTCTTTCCTTGGCTTCCTAGAGAGACTCTTTAACCACCCAAATTTGCCATGATTGAAATTCGTTCAGACAAGCAATCAGGCTGTTGACTGGTTGGCAGCGCAATTTAAGATGTGCATATATCTAATTGGTTAAATCTGCCCCATCTCAGTTGGTACTCATTTTGGACATATGTCTAGTTTTGTTTGGTCATCTCGATTCTGAATCTAGATTTGTAAGTCTTGACTGTTGTACGGGGTTGATGTTTCAACAATGGCTGACGTCTACACTTGCATCAGCGTATCGAAACACATTTTTGCCATAGCCACAAGCTCAGCAATTCCTGCAGCAATGTGAACTCGTGATATCTTTTTTTCTGTGGCAAAAGGTGTTGAGGCAAATCAATCCCTGATTAATGCAAAAGAAAGACCAATGGCTATCAATCTCCGTTAGACTATTTTGCATGAAAAGAATTCCAGACGAGTTATATCCTCAGGCAAATATCGGGAGTCATCGATGGCCAAGGAAAAGGCTTCAGAGATTCACCATATGAGTACATCTGCCTCTAGGATCTACCAAACAGCTTACAAGCTCCTAAATTCATTTCAAATGTAAGTCTTTTGCATAAAAAAATAAGTTAAGATTTAGGACTACTGATTAACAAGAAAACAACACTTCCTCATAGTAATCATATGTCATCTTTCTTATTATTACCCAAAAAAAACTAATATCATTTCTGCAATGTAACACTCTCCATCCCTCTTCCGCCATACGTCCCACTCTTCAGGAAACATAACTTTCAGCAGTGATTGGCACACAAAGCAGTCTAAAATATTAGCGCATCACACACCAGAAGCATATCAAATATGTAGTACTAACATGTACAAAGCAGCTGAAGCAGAGCACATCAAGAAAGATCCACAAACCAGCAAACTAAATTATAAGAAAACATTTATAGGAGGAAGTATTTAAGAGATCTAACATAATCCATAAAGGTTTAATACCACAACAGGACCGATACAGGATAAACCAAACAGACAACCGAAATGAGTTTCAGATATTATTTAAAGCCAACAAACACAAACAACTCCCTAAAAGACCAAACACCCTTACTGCTTAATCAGATTTCAAGCTTTAAAACTTAGAAACCACCACGAAGGCGAAGGACAAGATGAAGAGTAGATTCCTTCTGGATGTTATAATCTGCAAGAGTTCTCCCGTCCTCCAGCTGCTTTCCAGCAAATATCAACCTCTGCTGGTCTGGTGGGATCCCTTCCTTGTCCTGAATCTTTGCCTTAACGTTATCAATGGTGTCTGAACTTTCAACCTCCAAAGTGATCGTCTTTCCAGTTAAGGTCTTAACAAAGATCTGCATCCCACCACGCAGTCGTAACACCAAGTGAAGGGTTGACTCCTTTTGGATATTATAGTCAGCCAACGTCCTCCCATCTTCAAGCTGCTTTCCAGCAAAGATGAGCCTTTGCTGGTCAGGAGGGATACCCTCCTTGTCTTGGATCTTTGCCTTCACGTTGTCAATGGTGTCTGAACTTTCAACCTCCAAAGTGATAGTCTTTCCGGTCAGAGTCTTCACAAAGATCTGCATACCACCTCGAAGACGGAGAACCAAATGGAGAGTTGACTCCTTCTGGATATTATAATCAGCAAGAGTCCTTCCATCTTCAAGCTGTTTTCCTGCAAAAATCAATCTCTGCTGGTCTGGTGGGATACCCTCTTTGTCCTGAATTTTGGCTTTCACATTATCAATGGTATCTGAACTCTCAACCTCAAGGGTAATGGTCTTGCCAGTGAGGGTTTTGACAAAGATTTGCATGCCACCACGAAGACGAAGCACTAGGTGGAGGGTGGACTCCTTCTGGATGTTATAGTCTGCTAGTGTACGACCATCTTCAAGCTGCTTTCCGGCAAAGATAAGCCTCTGTTGGTCTGGGGGAATTCCTTCCTTGTCTTGAATCTTAGCCTTGACATTATCAATAGTGTCAGAGCTTTCAACCTCCAAGGTAATTGTCTTTCCAGTGAGAGTCTTGACAAAGATTTGCATGCCACCACGAAGACGAAGCACCAGGTGGAGGGTCGACTCCTTCTGGATGTTGTAGTCAGCTAGCGTGCGACCATCTTCAAGTTGTTTGCCAGCAAAGATTAGCCTTTGCTGATCTGGTGGGATCCCCTCTTTGTCCTGAATCTTAGCCTTCACATTGTCGATGGTGTCTGAACTCTCCACCTCAAGGGTGATGGTCTTGCCAGTAAGGGTTTTCACAAAGATTTGCATCTATTAAATCAAAGGATCAGAACAGATTGGAATCTCAAGATTTCAAAAAATTATAAAAACAAAGTGGTAAACCATAAATCATTACTTATGGTCATGGCTAACAATAGATTTTTAAATCTATAAAATGGCTTTAATCTTCAGGAAGAAAAAAGCATTAAATATTCAAAAGAAAGAATAAAATAGAAGAAAAAAGGTGCCTAGACAAAATCAAAGTCAGTAAATTCATATATCATTCATTATATTTTAACAAATTTAAAAAAATAAAATAAAATCTGCAGGAATACCAAAATATCACTTTTTAAATAAAAAATAAAACCAAGAAAATTCAAAATTATAAAAACTAATAGAAAGAGTAGATCAAAAGACTAAACAAATCTAACGTATACAGAATATATCAATTACAATTAAAAATTTCCACGCAGCGATAAATCTAAAAATTTTACATATTTATAACTGAATTTCGATAAACAAAGATAATCCATTAAGAGTTCCACCAATAATTTAACTATCCTCTTTTCAGGTTACGGATTCAAGATAATGCCATTAACAAACAAGATTTGATTAATTAAAAAATAAAAAAATTTATTCATAATACATAAAACAATCAAAATGTCGATTGCCAAGGTAAGATCAATCAAAATTCGAAATAATTAAAACTGGAAATTTAAAAAGAAAGGAATTATGATTACCTTGAAAAAGAAATTGGAAAAAGCTTCGAACGTTGAAAATTGAATTTCTTGCCGAGCAATAGATGAGGAGAGGGCTATGAGATCTACGTTCCTCTTATAGATGGAATTTGCCGACTTTATGACGATATTGCCGATAAGATAACCAATCAGTTTCTGCCACGTAATTTCAACTCCCTATGTATCGTAGCGCATACGCTGGACTCGGGTGTCCTTTTTTTTTCTTTGGCGTGTAAAATAAAATACAGGAAATAAAATGACAAAAGCTAAAAATTAGACATTTATTTATTTTTTAATTCTTAATTTATCCTTAATCCCTCTATTTAGACTTATCATTTATGTCATCCAGTCATTTTTTTTATTAGATCTGATTTTAAATATAATACAAATAATTTTGACATAAATACGATATAAATATTTAAATAATATAAATTATTTAGATATAAATATGATATGTTTATTATAAATATTATACGTGACATGACATAATATGATTAATATATTTAAAATTAATTTATATTTAAATAACATGACATGATATGATTAATATAATTGTATATAAATAACATGATTAGACATGACTAATTACTCAAATAGTATGATACGATTAAAATGATCATATACGAATAATACGGTTAATCTATTTATTTAAAAAATCATTTAAATTAGTATTTAAACAAAAAATAATTTAAAACTTAAATATTTATAATTTATTTAAATATCAAAATAATATGATAAATACGATTATTAATTTATTTTTTGAATAAATTAAAATAAATTTTTAAATTTTTTATGTTATGAACATTATCATGTCTTAAGTATATTATTATTGTTTGATACAAACACAAAACGAATAATATTGTATCTTAATCGTGTTAACATAATTAAAATACGAAACATTATTACATTAAACTTATATATAATTTTTTTGTGTCATTTTTATATCATATTATTATGTCATGTTTAAAATTATCAGATTTAACTCATCCTACTACTTACTTGATTGAAGAGGACATTACACGCATAAGCTTCTTCAAACCAACAACCTTAAAATGCCAATTTCAATGACATGTTAATTGGTTTAAGGGATGGTCAGTATTTAAGCATTAATTTATAGGGTAAAATATTAAAAAATTTTTAATTTATTATTTTATTTAGATAAATTTTTATATTTTAAATAAGTCTTTAATATTAAATTTGTATCTAAATAAATTTTTAAATTTTAATGTAAATTTAAATAAATCTTTAATTTTTAGTTAAATAAATTCTTTTGTAAATCAATTTTTTAAGATAAAAATTTATTTGGTAATAATAAAAATAATTTATTTGAATAAAATAAAATTATAAAGATTTAAAAAAATAATTTGCAAACCTTTTTAAATATTTTAAAATTATTTATACTTTAAATTTTTTTATTTAAGATTACGAAAAATTAAATAAATTAATAAGTATTAAGTATTCATTTTTTTAATTTTTTATATAATATATTTATATTATAGAATAAGATTAATTAAATTTAATGTCATGAATAAGATGGGAGTAATTTATTAACAAAATTATTTAAAACAAACAATGGAATATAAAAAAAAATTTATGACCTTTAATTTTTTATATAATAATATATTTAAAAATATTTGTTTAAAAAAATTCATTTTTTCTTAATAAAATATCCATGTTAAACCTCATTTTTTCCCTCACTTTTAAAACATTTTTTTTTCACGTAATTCTTTTTCTTCCCTCGCATCATGGAACGTGCACATTTTTTTGGTCTATGGGTATACATTTTCTTAATATCTATTATATGACTAAAATTATGCACTTTTGAATGAGTAAATAATAAAAATGATATAATAGTAACATAATAAAATGGAAAGCATATGGAAAATCTCAAAAAGTAATACTATATCAAGTAGAATTTTTATTTTTCATTTATATATTTCATTATTAAAATTTCATTGCATTTTTCTTATTATTTTTATATGAGATTATTGAATTTACTTATAATGATTTTGATAGATAATAGTATTGGTTTAAATGAGATTGAAAATAATAATGATAATAAGATTAGTTATTTTATTCTAAAGTAAATTGAGTTTTAGATAAAAAAATTTTAAAAATATTAATGATTCAAAAAAATTATGAATATTCAATCATCTTCTTATATATATATATATATATATATGTTTTAAGTAATCTTTTATCTTAATAAATACACACATATTAAATCATGACTACTTTATATAATACTCGCATTTTAATATACAAAATCATGCAATAATAAATTTTAAACCAAATTAGGTGAAATACCCACACATTGTTGTAGGTCCAAATTTTTTTGTTTTATTATTTTTATTAGGGGTGAGAAAAAAATCAAGTAATTCAAAAATTGATTCCAAATCATAATATTCGATTTGGTTCGGATCATTTCCTTTATTCAGTTTGAATCAAGTTTAAATATTAAATATATATATATATATATATTAAGTTTGGATCGAATTTTGAATCAGAAGATGAAAAATAAAAAAAAATTGAATCGAATAGAATTATATATATATTTTAGTTTTTATATATATTTTAAATTTTTAAAAAATAAAAAAATAATTTTATATCAAAATCTACTTAAATATATTAAAATAATATATAAAAATTAAAAATTGATAAAATTCGATTTTGTTCAGCTTGGATCAAATCGAATAAAGGTTCAGTTTGAATTCGAATCAGATTTTAAATTTTTATAATATTATGCAATATCCGAAAAAATTTAATCGAATTTGATTCGAACCGAACCGTTATCACTCCTAATTTTTATTCATTAATTTTTTGTAAAATTTATCTAATTAAAAAAATGAAAGTTAAAAAATCAAATAAGGATGACACATGAATATTTAAATTGACCTCATATTCTTATAAATATATAATAAAAAATTATAAAAAGAAAATAAAGTAAAAAAATTAAAATAAAAAATAAAAAAAGGTCACAAAAAAAATGCTACATGAACACTCTAATTGAATTCAAAATATCAAATAATAACTTTACAAGTATGCTACATATATAAATATAAAATTAAAATAATTGTAAAATATATACTTACATATATACATACATACATACATACATATATATATATATATATATATAGATCCTAACAACATTAGTAAAAAAAGATTAAAAGTTGAGTTCTTATGCGATATTAATAATAATGAGTTTTTTTTAAAAAAATTATATAATAGATTTTAAAAAGCTAAAAAAGACAGAAAAAAATCAAATTCATATGTGACATCAACACTTTTAATAATATTTTTTCTAAAAAATTATTAAATATTAAAAAAATGAAAAATACATATTTTTAATAATAATATCAAATGGATACAATATTTAAAAAAAATTAAAAATATTCAAAAACATTTATTAAATATAAAATATAATGAAAAAATGAAAAAGCAATCAAATAGCTTGACATGTGGCATAACCTTGATATAAAAAAGGTATCATAAAAAATAAAAATAAAAAAAATTGTTTATAAATATATAAAAATGTAAAAAAAAAAAAAAACCTAAATATCAAGCAATTCTCATAAAAAATTCAAAATAAAAAATATATTTATTAAATATTTAAAAGAAAAGTAAAAGAAAGGTAAAAAAGAAAAAAAAATTGGATATTAGTGAATCTAATAAAGAGGCTTCTAAATACACCAAATTTTCTTTCTACACCCTCAAAAAAATTTTTTAGAAAATACCCAAATACCAAATGTTAATTTTAACTTTAGTAAGTGACAAAAATATCCTTAATAGCTTATACATCCAAAAACCATATTGTATTTCGAAAAAATAAATTTTCAGGTGTTATATTGTGTTATCGAAAATCTATTTCTAAAAAACCAACATAATCTTTGAAAATGGATTACTAAGAACAAAAAACATCTCTGAAAAATTTATTTCTAAGACTTATATTGCTTTCTCGAAAATTCATTTTTGAGAACACATTATGTTCTCTCGAAAATTCATTTTTGAGAATACATAAAATTTTTAAAAATATATATTTAATTATATTTTGATACGAAAAAATCAAGATCTCTAATATTTTGGACCATTGAAAAATATCATTAATAGACTGATAAATCCGACAGTAAGGACTAGTGGTCAAAAAATTAAATATTGTCGGATTTGTCAATCTACCGATGACATTATAATGATAATGTTCTATAGAGTGTGCAAGCTCAAACTAGCATGCATATACACATAAGGGTCATCAACATGCCCATTCTTACTTGATCATATGTGTGAATGGAAGAGACCAAGTTTTCAAGTATGCATGGAATAAAAATGTTTTTGTTTCAAGCCCAGAAAATGAAGAAAACGATTTCAATTTATCACATGCATATTGAGAATATTGATTTCAGTTCCATTTACACACATAATCAAATAAATGGGCTTATAAACGCATGATTAAGATTTTTTTATTAAAAGTGAAATTGAGCTTCTCAGATATAGAGATATGAGAAGCCTTATATTTTCTTGGATATCTATTTCTAAGGAGACTCTTAACCTTTCTATTTCCCACTTCGACCTTTTTATTTTCTTATTTTCTCTTCACTTTTTAAAATCAAGTTTCTCAAAAATAAATATCTGATAAGTTTTGAAACTTATCAAAAATGAATATCTGAGAAAATGTAAGAATTATTAGATAACCATTTTCGAAAAACTTTAAAGCTTCTCGAATATCCATTTTCAATAAGTTTCAAAACTTATCAAATATTTATTTTTGAGAAACTTGATTTCAAGAAGTGAAGAGAAAAGAAAAGAGAAAGGGCATGAATGAAAAATAGAAAGGTTAAGGGTATGATGCATTTAGTAGAAATAGGAAAATAAGTTTCGAATTTGGGGTGTAAATAGAAGTGAGGTGCATATAGCATTAAATAGGGTGCATTTAGAATTCCACATCTAATAAACAAATAAAATCTTTTTAAAATATTTATCTTTATGTCATAACGTATAGATCTATAGACTTATAGCTAAATTTGACTTCGGGAGTAGCCACCAATCTTTTTTTGTTAAGATGTAATCGGCACCTAAATGAATCTGTCTTTTTTTAAAGAGACATTTTAAGCTTAGCTTATGT